GCACGGCTAACTCACAGATTGAACCCTAAAACAACCTCTGGGCTGGTCTAATTCAGGGCACGGCTAACTCACAGATTGAACCCTAAAACAACCTCCGAGCTGATCAAAGTCATGGCATGGCTAACTCACAGATCGAACCCTGAAATAACCTCTGGACTGAGCTAGGTCATGGCATGGCTAACTCACAGATTGAACCCTAAAACAACCTCTGGGCTGATCTAAGTCAGGGCATGGCTAACTTACAGATTGAACCCTGAAACAACCTCTGGGCTGATCAAAGTCATGGCACAGCTAACTCACAGATTGAAACCTAAAACAACCTCTGGGCTGATCTAAGTCAGGGCATGGCTGACTTACAGATTGAACCCTGAAACAACCTCTGAGCTGATCAAAGTCATGGCATGGCTAACTCACAGATTGAACCCTAAAACAACATCTGGGCTGGTCTAATTCATGGCATGGCTAACTCACAGATTGAACCCTGAAACAACCTCAGAGCTGTTCTAATTCAGGGCATGGCTAACTCACAGATCGAATTGGGATTTAGCTGGATCTGTTTTGTGGATGGAGGAAAACTGGAGAACCCAGAGAAAAACTCTAAAATCAAAGAAGAGACCTAAACCCTATACTCACATGTGATGCAGAGTCCAGGAATCAAACCTGAGATCCCAGAGGTGAGAGGCAAGTGCACTTCTGCTACGCCACCCTTCCTTGATTTTTTTTGACAAGAAGGTTCAAGAGCAGAGATGATAGTAAATTTGTTTTATTACGATATTCTTTTGATTTTTTTAAAAGATGGTAATATATGGGATAAAGACAGTGAACTTCTTCATTGGTTTGTGTAAGTTTGTTTTATTTATTGTTGTATTCATGGAGTGTTTGTTGTTTACTTGATTTCACTATGTTTATTCTTGAGGTCCTATAATTATTGTCACATGAATGGCTGTAATGATAAGATACCTAAGTACAAAATTGGCAATGTTGTATCAGAATTTAAATATGGTACAGGCAACCCGGGGGGTGACTCCAGGGTAAAAGTATTGGATTGTCATATCTCTTAGGGGTGAAAATTGGCAGTTTGGTATCTTTTAGGGTGTGAAAATTGAAATTTAGAATTTCAGKTTTTTTTGGTGTCTTTTAGGGGTTTAAAATCATACAACCACGCCCTAGGGGTATTTTCGAAATTTTCTAACGAGCATACCTGATACTTTTACCCTAGAGTCCCCCCCCATTAATTGATGCTTGTAACATTGTTGTGTCATTCTTTCATTAGTGCAAATATTCCTGGGAATAAAGTGTCTGAAGGTGATGTGATCAGAGAGTACATTCCTCCAATCCCGCCAAAGGGTACTGGTTTCCATAGATATGTCTTCTGCTTGTTGCGACAGAAAGATAAGCTTAACCTGGACAAATATACTCCTTCTGATTCAAGGTATGTAAGCAATTCGTTTAAAAGTAAATGAATAAAGCAAATTTCTTATGACTGTATAAAGAAAGGTACACAAGTTAAAGGGGGTGTAGTGGTAGTGCCCTTGCCTCTCACCTTTGGGGATGTAGTGGTAGTGCCCTCGCCTTTCACCTCTAGGGGTGTAGTGGTAGCGCCCTCGCCTCTCACCTTTTGGGGATGTAGTGGTAGTGCCCTTGCCTCTCACCCCTGGGGGTGTAGT